ATGGAATGAAAACTTATGAGAAGTGGTTTTTTTTTCTTAATTGACGGGCAGTTCCACCTTAATCACATTCTTTGCAGCCATATGTCGCAACTACAGCAACGTTAATAGAATGGTGACTTGAGGCACTGAATTGCTTTGCGTTTGTGAATTTAGAGAAACCAAGGTTTTTTTTTTTAACTTTTTAAAATTTTTTTTACAAATGAACATCCGAATCACATAAAAAAGAATTTATTTAAATGCTTTGCATCTTGAAGTTTAGACCAAGCAAATGGAGTCAGACTAGAAACCAAAACTTGTCTTTTCTTTTGTCTAAAGAACGACGAAATTAATTTAGCATGAATTGTTTGATTTATAATCGCCGAAAAAGCATGTTGATCTGCAAAACAATAAGTACCTCAAAGAACAATTTGCTCTGTCTCGTCTACTCACTCTAGTATTTTTCGGCAACGCAGATGACTCACAGATCTGACATGATACAATTAAGAGTGAGCTTCTCGAAAAACTCTCGACATTTGTTCAGTCACCATTTTGCAAAAAATATTTAATAATGTAAAGTTCTTATCTTTGTCGAATCTTCTCGTCATTCCAGTGATTCCACTTGTCCTTTTGATTAAATATTTCTCCATCTTTTTCCTCTTTCTAAGAGCTTCCTAAAACACAAACATAGCATTCCGCTGATAAGCAACAGGCCAAATTTGGGTAAACCGACTTGTAATTCACTTAGTTCTCGGTAACTAGCTAAGTGTACAATGCATATCAAGCAAGGCAAGTTTGTAAAGTTGTATTGTCAAATTTTGCCATCATGCAGGAACTATACAAGAAAATTTAAAGAAACTTCTGAAAAACCCTTGCAAATTCTATTTCAACTAAAGTCCCTAAAGACACAAGAATAGAATTACTGTATGCACGTGGCCATGTCAAAGATCATTGACGCATTCTTGGTTATTTTCAAGGGATTATGCTCTAAATACCTCTCTAGTTTTAAAATTTTCCTCTATTTTCAGTTTAAGTCAGTCTCTAAAATTCTGTGGCTGTAGTGCATAAATATACTTTTCTTGATCTCAAATTTGAGTTTTAGCAACCTACGCCCAAAGCCGACTACTCGTGCACGTGGCTACTCGCAAAGATAAAATTCAGCTTAACTCCCATATTTGCAAAGATAGTATTTCATTTACCTTTGTTGAAGTAGGGAACACACTTCCTTCCCTGTCGTCAACGTTTCTTCGAGCAACTTCCAAGTTCGGTGAAGCTCTTCTTCAAAACTTCATCATAAACGTCTTCACACTTCGACGATGAGCTTGGTTTGCTGTAAATTCTATAGTTTCGCATGAATATGGATTAGAAACAACAACCAATCACTGATGATTATATCACAGATGTTCGCGTAAGCCGCCTGCCAATCAGAGAATGGCCAAAAAGGAAAGTCAATTTGCATGTTAACGAGCCATCGAAAGCGGATCATATTTTACTTCAGTTTTTCATGAGCGTGGGATGAACATTACAAGATAAACGTTGCAAAGTAATAATTAGTAGTAAGGTATGAAAAGAAAGGAGTGAGGCTCAGAGATAAAACCAAAGCAAAACTGGGAATATTTTATCTGAAAATATGGAGGCCCTTACCCTTATGAAGAGTAAAAAACACTTAAGCCACTATTTTGTTGAACTTTCCCTTTCCGGAACAATAAGATAACTCCATTGAAAGGAAGAGTTTAGAAAAAAAATGCATGCGATGCAAACCTATCTATTTTCTGGTTTTTTCGCTTTCCCAGTGTAACACATCTTTCTCTAGTTCCCAGTCTCACAATAATGAGATTTGGTTGGAAATAAATAATAATATGAACGAAACGATGTATTTTTGCCGACATTTTTAAACAATTCTCTCCCATTAGCCCTCTGATCCTGAGGAGTATCACCGTGAATCAAACATGAGGATCACTAGAAGAAAGGAAGAGATCACCACGCAAAGAAACTCTTGATTGTTAAACATATTCTCCTTGCCAGTAGCTTAAGAAATGTGTAGAGAACAGTATGGAGAATATGCATACTGATGATAGGGTGTAAAGGGATAATGGAGACGACGAAGAGGATTCGTGATAGGTGGGTCTGGAATAAACGTCAAAAATAAGTTCATAATTAAAGCCTGGGATATCTTTAAAATTTCAAGTCAAAGAAAAGAATATAAAAGAAAGAGAAATAGAGAGAAAAAAATGAAAACTTAACTATGGCTCAGATTTCCACCGAACGCACGGTGAGCGAAACTCTTGTACCATTCACCACTTGACAACAAGGTGAGGGATGAGGGAATTTTTATGTATTAATTGTTTAAGTGTTCATTGAGGGCCAAGAATAGTGTGCAAAGACGTTGCTTAATTTTCGGATGGCAGTAGGTATAGTAAACCCCCAAAGTTACATGAGATACCAAAAACTGAACGGCTGCGAAGGAAACTAAGAGGCAGCTACCGCCTCTGAAGATACACTTACGCGCGCGCGCGCCAGTCAACAAACAAGATCCTACAGTTTATATCTACTAAACTGTTCATTTTACTGCTTTGAAAAATCGATTAATTCGACATGAACTTATCAAATTCGTCCTCCTGCATATGAATAAATTCCCGGTCAATGTCAACAAACGTAGTGATAATACCACAATCTACTAGAAACCTTCACGAAGGCACAAATCAATCTAATTTACAAGTCACAATTTACTTTTCCGTCAACCTTCACTGTACAATTAAAATGTACTTTTTACAAAACAAAATTGCTTATCAACATGAATGTGTGTTACGGTGACCACTGCCCTTTTTACAATACAACCTGGGGATTTAAACTTTCATTTCAGATTCAATAAACTTCAAGATGTCTTTGACATCACAAGAGAACAGTGCAAACTCGAAAGGGAACATAGAAGAGCCCTGACGCCCTTTGTTTTATATGTATTTTAAACAAAATTGTAAGAGGAGAAACCTCGGGCTTTCAGTTTACCTAGTGCGCAATTTGGAGGTAGTGTGATGGTTTTTTATCGGTGGAAATCGGCTCGACACCGGAACACTCCGAAATCGACCAAAATATTGACCTTTTCTCCCTCTTCAGTTCGACTACGCGCTCAACTGAGTGTCCTTTGCCGTACTTATTAAAATCGCAAAAATATGCTGTCTTCAGCCACAGAAACGACAATATATCACATTCCAGGTAAAAGTCTGTTTATTTTGATGATAATCGAGAATAGCCATCCCTGTTTGTTACAATAACACAAAGCTCTTCGAAATTCCATACATTTCCTTTAAATTCAACCATACGTCAAATGGTCAATCTGTGAAACTGTTTGGGTGGGTTCCCTGTGACTTCTTCAACATGGAGTGACTGAAGAAATGTAAATCCATCCCAATTTATCCCCGGCATTCTGTTAACCCTTTTAGAATGAACCCCTAAGAATGATTGGAATCTTTTTTTTTCCTCACAATATCACCCCTGAATCACACATTAGGTCAGGAGAATGTAGGAAATAATCACCAACTAGGGAAGCTCTTGATTGTTAACCAAATTTTCCTTGTCAGCACCTTGAGAGATGTATCGAGAACAGTAAGGAAGATGTGAGGGTTGAGTATGCCTGCTTTACTGTACTGGTAGCTACTTTTCCATTCCAGTATCAATAGCGCTTGCCCCGAGTGAATAGTATTTCTGTTGTTGAAAAAAACACGTGAATGTTTTACTTTTCAAAGTAAATTCTTAAACAGAGTTCCAACTACTCCGCTGTGTAAGAATTGACACATTAAATTACCTAGAGTGACTAGAGTATGTCTAAATAGTATGTCCTAGAACGGATTTTCCATAAAACACCAACAATTAAGATTCAAGATGTATTAAAAATGTATTCCCAAAATGTATTCCCAATGTAAGTTGGAAAAGTGTTCCCTACTGATGAGACGACACTGCAATCTGTCCATGAGGTTTTCCGACATATTAATCCCTGATGGTGCGCTTTTGAGCTCAAACTGAAAGTAGGTTAGAATAACAAAATGAAATAAAAACAATAAATACTGTTTTATTTGTCAATTAAAGACTTTACAAAAGTGAACATAGCTTCATGTTTTACATATATGTATATTCCTTGATCAAATAAAAACCCCAGTGTTATGTATAACATGTTGCTGAATAAGAATAACTTTACATTAACATATGTTTGTTGTCCTTTGTATTTACTATACTAAGTAAGAACGCAATTTTTACGAGGTTTGTTTTTGTAACATTACTGCACAAGTAGCATCTATGGAGAAATTTTCAATTGAGTGTCGAAAGTAATACTAGTTTGCTATGGTTTTATGATTGGTCAAGAAAACTCACGCCACTTTCTCAATCAATCAGATCCAAAATTAAAACCAATTCTGACTTGTTACTTGCCTGGTACCGCGCTTTGAGCGTTTTGATTGGCTCATTCTAATATTAACCTTTCTTCTGATTGGCTCCTAGTGATCTTTTCCTTCGCTCTTATTGGTCGTATTTGGTAGTTACGACACTCAGTCGACAATTACTCTCGATTCTATGATTGATTCATGGTTTAATTGTCCCGTCTGTTCTAAAATTTCAGTAGTAATTTTTAGTGAAAATCAAATTAATTTAAATATTCCCCATTTACAGTTGTTAAACATGAGCATTTTCACTAGTGGAAGTAAACAAAATGTAGCAATGAAAAAGAGCTATTTGTGTTTTTAGATAATAAATTACTTAAGAACACAAAAGAAAACTTTCAAAATAACAAGATCATCTTCAAGTAATATTTTTGACAAACCAATTAAATAGTAACTAACCTTACTCAATAACTCCCAAGATCTGATTGTAAATTCTCCCCTCTAGCTGCTACACATTTCATTGTAAATTATTTACAAGAACTTGGTGTTCAATCCAGATTATAATATCTAACTGATAAGTTGGAGTATTCCCATTACCTTTTTGCTTGATAATGTATGGGTATGTTGAGGAGAAGTTACATGTTAATCACTTAAACCCTTTATACCTTGAAATTAGTATCCATTATATTTTCCATACCATTCTCTATACATTTCCTTCAGTACTGATAAGGAGAATTTGTGTAACAATCAAAGCTTCTTAGATTGACAATCTTTTGTTATTCTCATGATTTTAAAGAATGATGTAGCAGTATTGCTGTATGGAGAAATTAGAAGCTGGTCAGTTTTAACCCTGTTCCTTTACCCTCGCAAAAAAATCATTGCTCTATATTTCTCAAGACTTAGCATACCATCTACATCAATTGTAATTTTCCTTTTTATGTTATCAAATAAACATAAACATAAACTGATTCAGATTTTGGAGGTTTGCTACATCTAGCTACACCACCACTGCATCATTGAATCCTTTTTTTTTTGTTTTATTTTGTTTCTTTGTTTTAGTTCTTGTTTTGTGTTATTTTGTTTTGTTCTAGACTATACCTTCTGTGGTAAAGATCAAATTAACCATTTGAATATTAGTCTATTGAAAAACTATCATTTATGCATCCATATTCTCCAAATATGAAAAATTATTCTATATGAACGTTGCCTGTATTAATATACATGTATATTTTGCCAACAACACCCAGCTTAGTCACTCAGAATGTTTGACTGGTGCACAAGCTAAGCCATCCAAGACTTCATTTGCAGCCCTTTGACCTGCTTGTACTGCTCCATTCATGAAACCACGCCATTCGGTGGCTGTCTCAGTTCCTGCCCAGTGAACTCTGACAAAAGATGACACCATTACATCACTTGTTATTTCATCACTCTGTAGGCTGAGAGCTTATATTAACTCCTGAAAAACCTGACATAAGTATGAAATAATATATTCCACTCTTTTCCACAGCTTTCCTATGGAACTGAAGCATCAAGTGTAACAGTCAAGAGCTTCATTAGATGGCCATCATTTCTTTTATTCTCATGACCCTGATGTGTGAATCAACGATGATACTGTTTTAAGAAATTAGATGCATGTCACTCTCAGGGATTAGATGGTTAAATGCGGTTTCAGAGAGTAGACAACACCCTGCACATCTGTTAAATTCTCAAGTTTCTAAACATGTGGTAAAAGGTTTTAGGGACATGGTGTAAGCCTACATTTGATTGGTGTTAATTGTCAGCCTTGCTTTTTCTAAATTTTCTAGACAAGACCCACCTAAGCTGGGGTAGATGGACAAATTTTTTTGGAAGGGGAAGGAGATACAAACATTGATTCACAAAACACATAATTTTTTAATGTTATAGCCTTAATAAACTTAAAAATTTTACAAGACAAATAAATTCAAAATACTACATTTGCTGTTGTAAAATACAATATTGTTATATTGCAAGAAGTTTGGTGTCAGACAAGATGTAAAATAAGGTCCCAGGTCTAATGGTAAGAAGGGATCCCCACCCTTCCCCACCCCATCCCCCCTTCGCTACCCCATCCCCCCCAACCTCCACCTGGATTTGCCACTGCCTGTATGGCTTTAGTCTTAAGAACCTAATGGTCTGTGACTGCTGCAGCATATCCCTGATCTGAGGGCAGATCCAGGAAACTTGATTCAGAAACCACAGAATGTATTTGCTTAACACCAGAGTCCAAATAGGCTAAAAAATATTTAAAGACATGTAAATTTTAATAATTCAAATTGAGTGTGTGATGTGTGATCCTGTTGTTGTAAGAATTTGGAATCAGACAAGTGGTGAAAAAGCCTGCAGGGGGGAGGGGGGGGGTTAAGAACCTCTAGACTCTCCTGCTAGAACTGCTATTGTTTCATAGCACATACTGAGCAGGAGTATTGCTCCCTCATTCAAAGGAACATCAATCCCTCGCAGGTCACCCTGCATTCATCAGATTTCCCTAAGAGTTTGCTGGTATTCATAAATAATACTCCTGGATGGAAAGATGCTCTGTGAGAGTGAAGTTTATCAAGGACTCAAATACTGCTGATGCTTAAAGCTAATTCCTTCTTACCTAAGAAATGGCTCACGTAAACAGTCTCCATAATTTGTCATTGCTCCAGGGACCATCACATTCACTGGACATCCACCATTCCATGCCTCTTTTGACCAGTCCTGATTAAATAAACAAACAAAAATAAATAAAAGAAAATTAATGAAACACATCAAAATGTCTTAACGTAATCAAAACTTTATCAATTTAAAAAATTATATCCATTCATGTTGAATGTGAATTTGATGTCAAAATGATTTCAAACTAGTTTGATTTGTGATTTGTTAAAAATTGTTTTAAGAATTGTAGAATTTCTTGTAGACAACTTGAATAAAGGAAAGATAACTGTTGTGATAATAAAACTACTAGGTTTAAGTCTTTTAATTTGACTTAAGTTAGAATTACTTTCAACTCTAACATATTCATCTGTTACTCCTTACCCTAGAAGAATAAAAAAATTTACCTGGATGGGGCACCTACAATTCATGAAGACAGACTAATCAAGGGAGGGTGCTTATCAAGTTCAGGACACTTTTTTTATTTTTGATAACCAGCAGAACCAATGAAACAAAGCTTTGATGCTTATAAAAAAAAAAAGCAGCAAGAACACTGGAATAGGGGTGCTTCTTGGAGCAAGAGTGCTTGCTCAGTAGGGGCACTTACTGACAGAAACACATTTGAGGGGGCACTTATTAGAGAGGGGGATGCTTATCAGAATGAGGGTGCTAAATCAAAATAATACTTATGATATTCCACTCACAGAGAGAATTCTTTTATCAATGAAACCACAAGCTCCTCAATTTCTAAATTTCATCCCTTATTTTTATGGAAATTTTACACAAATTATGGGGAATTATTTAAAGTAACACTTACATTTTAAATTTCACAGATCTGGTCATCTGAGGTTTAAAAGCCAATTGAGCATACCTTTATTGTAAAATCAATAGGCTTCTCTGCTTCTTCACCAAAATACAATTTCAAAGCCTTAAGGATTGCTTCTCTTTTATTTTTATCCTAGCAAAAAAAAATTCAGGATCAAAAGTTAGAAGTCTCAAGGAAAACTTCCACACTTCCTTCATTAACACTTAATCCTTTGACTCCCAAGATCTCATTTAGTAATTAATTCTCCTCACTGTCTACCCTACAATTATTTTGATAATACAGAGAATTTAGTATTGGATCAACTGTTGTAGTATTTATCCCCTAATTGATGTTTTTTTATATTCTCATCACTTGTCTGCTTGATTTTGTAGTGATATTGTAAGGAGAAATCCTGTCTTGGTCTAAGGATTAACCCTTTACACCCCAACATCAGAATACATATTCTTCATACTGTGCTCTCTATACATTTCCTTAGGTGCTGATGGGGAGAATTTGTTTAACAATCAAGAGCTCCTTAAGTTGATGATCATTTTCCCTATTCTTGTGACCTAAATGTTGGATTCAGGGCTGATAATGTAAGGAGAAATTGGATGCTGGTCACTCTTAGGGGTTAAAGAGTTAAGTACGAAATGACTATGGTAAGACATGGCCATTTTTAAATATAATGGATAATTTCCTTGAAAAGAGTGGTGATTACAGGTAAATGGTTTGTGGCCTGTCTTTTCTCTCATAGTCCTATGAGCACCCTAATGAAGGTTAATCGAAAACGCACAAGAAAAAACAAAACCACTCTACAGACCCTTCTCTCTTTTTCTACACTCTTTGCAGGTCAAGGAATGAAGCAGCTTAATTTTTCAACCAGGAAGGATTTGATATATTCAGGGTTAAATGAATGATTTGATCATTAAAGCAAGTGTATCACATCAAGTTCAAGTTCCAGATGAAACTTTCTGGAGCAAACATAACCCTAATTAACTCCCACGATCTGATTGTTAATTCTCCCCTCTGGCAGCTACACATTTCCTTGTAAATTAGTGACAAGAATTTGGTGTTACTTCAAGATTATCATAATAACTTCTACCTGATTTTGAGTATTCTCACTACCTGTTTTTTGCATAATGTATGGATACCATAGAGAGAAGTTACATATTAATCACTCCTGGAGGTAAAAGGGTTAGCTTCACCTTTAGGGATATCATTGAATATCAGTTGCGACTTTACCATTACTGTGCTCCACTGAGCTGCTGCATATGAAGTTATAAATCCAACAATTGCAGGGTTTCCATCAGATGATGTGGCATCAAATGTTACTGCAATAGGATTACTCTCACAAAAACCTTTAGTTGTGTTTCTGGCCATGTCTCCTGATAACCCTGCCTTCCTCCAGAAGGCTGTCGAGTATGTTGCCACAAACTTCATCAAATGTGATGGAGGCATGTTTTGAATAAGACGCTGCTTGTTGTATGGAAGGGGTGGACTAAATTTGATCTGACCTTAGGAAAAAATTAGCAATAAAGTTAGACAACTTATAGGGTGGAAATTGGCTTGAATCAGACTTTGAATTCAATATGGCTACCAAAAAGTTTTGTTGTGCTCAATGTAAATTGTGTTCCCCCACTCTCCTTTTCCAAAGACTGATGAACTGCCTGTATGGATAACATAAGGGCAGGTTTGCAATACATATTGAAAATTATAACACTGCTTACAAAGAGATAATCAAAAAATTGTTTTTCTCATCTATTTAACTTTCTAACCTATCAAATGAGGTGGAACAGCAAGAATTACAAACTTGGCTTTATAAGACCGGCTACCATGGCTGGTTACTATCACATGGTCATCTTCCTGACAAAACAAAAATTTTCTGAGTTATTCAAGTTATTTTCCAGCTCAAATTTCAATCATGGTTGTTAAGTCAAGCAATTGGGGCCATTTTCACTCCTGTTAGGAATATCCATTTTTATTTTACATATGTACTTTGGAAAAGAAAAGAAAAGCACTCTGAGAGTGAAATCTCACAGATCTTTAAATTCATGCATGCATGCATGCATGCAGCCACATTTTCTTGGACAGAATACCAATAATTGCTCCATGTGCAGTTTAATTACTCAACTTGAGTCACAAAAGTTGCTCAAAGACAAAAGTTGAAAGTCCCTTTCTCCATAAAGTATCCATGGTTTGCTAGCGCAAAGCTCTGTGACTTTAAAAGTGATGAGCAAAGCAGGAAATGACAGCTTATTATCTCATGTACTATATGCTTATAGAACTTGAACCAAGACTATCTCAGAGTCTCAAATCTGAGTAGTTGTCATTGGATCATTGAACCCCTGGCACAAGTGATCAGTACTACATATTTACCTGTTTTATTGATGTGACTGGCTGATTTAAAAGAACTCTGCCCTTTCCCAGTCTGCCAGCAAGTACTTCAGTTACACTATGAGCAGTTCCCTTTTGACAAAAACAAATATAGTGCAAACAATAAATAAAATTCAATTATTAAATTCAATATACATAATATGTTATCACCCTGTCTTAAGCAGTCCATTTTCCCGCACTTTTTCCCGATAATTACTGAAATTTTTACCTCAGTTGATCAAGCAGTCACCTCTAATAAGCAGTCATGGTCACTGCATATTTGTATTGTTGCTCACTGTACAGTATCATATGGTGCTCAACCACTCAAAAAAATTATTAATATTCTTTCAAGAATGTCTATAACCCAAAATCAATGTTAACCCTTTAACTCCCATGAGTGACCAAGACAGAATTTCTCCTTACAATGTCAATACAATATCAAGCAGACAAGAGATGAGAATAAAGAAAAGCATCAGTTAGGGGATTATAAGTTGACTAAATTCTCCAAACCACCATTACAAGAACTGTATGAGAGATGGTAAGGAGAATTATGAATTTGATCTGGGAGTTAAAGGGTTAAAAGAAACCTGAGGTGCTTCGTTGGTGGGGGAGTATAACAAGATAATTTGGTTCCATTAACTTGGTAAATGTAAATTTGCCACCATAGAGAGTTTCTGAAGCTGAAAAAACTCCTTAAACCTAATTACACCCTAACATCAGTATGTATATCCTCCATACTGTTTTCTACACATTTCCTAAGGTGCTGACAAGGAGAATTTGTCTAACAATCAAGAGCTTCCTTAGTCAGTGATCAGCTCCTTTATTCTCCTGACCTTAATGTTTGATTCAGGGGTGATGTGGTAAGGAGAAATTACATGCCAGTCACTCTTAGAGGTTGAAGAGTTAAAGGGACAAACATTTTCAAGACTCTCCACAGTACCCCTTGTTTGTTTTACCTTAATTTTCCATTCCTGTGCATGGCCCTTCACACTTGGATCTGTCATAATAGACCACCCCCCTGAACAGTTCAGGTAATGCAGAAAATACAGGAAGGACATCTGAGATGGTGTCACTCCAAACATGATGCCTATCACTATGTCAAATAACTCTTTTGCCGCTAAAAGTAGAAATTAAGGTAGTATGACAATATAAATGTCAAAAATAGTCATGGAGATAAATATAATAATATAACATTAATATGATAATAACAATGGAATAAAAGAAAAGAGCACCAGCATTTTCATACATGTCAGGTTAAAATTAGAATTTGGGAGTGATGGTCAATTAGGAAGGGTAAAAAATCAGTTAAATAGCCTTAATAGAAACTCTTACATGGACAAGCCATTAGTGAACTCAATGGACATATGATGCTTAATGTGGGTATCACACCTCAGTTGTAGTTAGAGGCATGTAAACTCTAATGGCATAATGCCCTCATCTTTCTTTAAATACTTTTTGATGTCAGAGGAGACTTGTGATCAAATATACATTCTTGATGACAAAAATTTTTTCTTATTTTTCTTATTTTAGGGGGATAATTTGAACACCAATGTTGTCCAATAAAAAATATATAAGGTAACTGTGCTTGTACAAAAGACTATTACACACATTTACATCATTCATTGCAGTGCAATACTGAGGAATCACCTTAATGCAAGATGATAATGACATGATTTCTGGAGCATACGGGTACTTTCCATTCATTGTGAAATTTGGAAAATTTCAATGGTGTACTGACCAATCACAATAAAGTTTAGAACACATAAGCAATCCTCAAAGTCACACACGTATTAGCCATGATTTTGCTTTGAAATTTAGTGTTCTAACATGCAAATCACTCTTTTTGTGAAATACACGGATACTGTGTGCCATATATAATTATTTCATGGTTTTCTGAGTTTCAATACAATTTGCCTTCCAAATTAAGGTAGTTGGGAGAAGTAAGCTTCAAAGAAAGAGAGATCACTGTGCCTAAAGTGCATATTGTAACAACTTGTGACACTTAAACACATTTCTCACCATTTGTCCATAGTGTCTGATGTTTCCATGTCTCTAAAGTCATTCCATCCCATTCTTCAGCGCAAGGACACTTACTAGGATCATCAATAGGAACTTCTTTGCACAACCTCTCAACCTTGTGAATCATCAAGGGAAAAAAAATTGTAAAATAAGCGTAATCTGTAATATCTCTTTCCAGCTCAGTTCATCCCATCCTTTGAGCCAGCCTTGTTTTCCAAACTCTCTCCTCTTCTCCTCTTCTCCTGGGAACAAGGCTTTGAAAAAAAAAAGCTATACTTCATAAAATATCTGAATACCCAGCATTACTAAATATACAAATGCGAGGATGAGAACACACTGGAGAGAGGAAAAGGTACAAGAGAAATAGGAGCTCAGAGCTGGAAAAGAGAAATTCAAGCAGACAGAACAAGGAACATAATTCAAAGGGGCAAATATCCCTTTGTCATTAATTGGCTGTGTGAGGAGAGGAAAAGGAAGAGGAAGAGCTAGGAACAGAAAGTGAAAATGTCACCTTTCTCTGAGTATCCCCTTCTCCCCTTCCTCCACCTCCCAGCTTAAACTAAAAGAATTGGGTTGAGGACATTAAACAGCTTTATAACATAGCTAGTAAATTTGTCTGATCAAATTCAATTGCACAAGCATGCACGCTCATGATGTCAGCAAACATATCCCCCGAGAAAAATTTTCCATTGAGTTGAAAATGTTATAAAACAATTGGTTCATACGTCAGCCGTGCATTCATCGAGATATGAAGCACTTGGGAAGTTTAGAGAGCACTCAAGAAGCTAGGGTTGCTCGAGGCATAGCCAAGAGCAACTCTTACCCATTTTTCGTGCTCTCCAAACTTCCCATGTGCTTCATATCTTGATGAACACATGCTAACATATGAACCAATTGTTAAGAGTCAATTAGCTTTCAGAAGACAAGAAGACAAACTATCAAGTTGACAGAGTTGTCTGCAACTTACCTTATAGATGGACCACAACAGGTCAAGAACTGCAATATAAGACACTGGTGGAATCTCACCGGAATACTTGGTAATGACATTATTATTGCTGTGCCACACTTTGCTTCCACTGTACAATTGATTATACACTTCAATGTCCAATTCCTCAAGTAGACTCATAAGAGTCTTTTGATTCCTGCAAAGGAAACACAAAAATTAGCTTAAGGAAGTAAACTTATTTTTTCATGCTCCTAGCTGTTACCTCATTGTCAAATATAAACAGACTGATTATTCTAAGACTAATTTTCACACAACTTTGAAAGGGAACAATATGCAAGAAAAATTGTCTCATTGTTTGAAGCATTCACAAAGAAACTTGTTCTGTAGAACCCTGCTAACTTGAACTTGGCCAACCCGTTAACCCCTAAGAGTGACTGGCATCTAATTTCTCCTCACAATATCACCCTGAATCGAACATTAAGGTCATGAGAATCAAGGAAATGATCAACAACTAAAGAACTCCTGACTGTTCAACAAATTCTCCTCGTCAGAACCTTAAGAAATGTATAGAGAACAGTATGGAGAATATGCATTCTGATGTTAGGGTGTAAAGGGTTAACTCCAATCCCCGGTAACTTGAACAAGATCTGATTTCCCTTGACCCCATTTTCTCAATAATGTAGGATATTATCTCCAGTTGTTCTCACCTACATACCCATTGTCCTCCAACATCCCATCTGTCTGTTCCTTTCACAGTTTTAAGTTCCACACTGTCAAGTCTTCCACCAACTCTGTCTAAGTTTTCACAAATTGTTTTGATTAAAAGATTATAGTTTATAAACTTTACGTCTGCGATAAAACGTCAACTTGTCTTTAAATGCTGCAACATATCTCTGATTTCTGACACATGCAGCCACAAGGAAGGTGTCTATTCTGGAGGAAATCTTCACCCATTAATCTTTTGACTGCTAAGAGTGACTAGCAGCTAATTTCTCCTTCCATATCACCTCTGAATTACATAAATTGAAGTTAGAAGAATAAAGGAAATGATCACTTTCTGAAGAAGCTCTTGATTGTTTAACAAATTCTCCTTGTCAGCATCTTGGAAAATGTATAGAGAACAGTATAGAGAATATGCAAACTGGGTATTGAGGGTTAGGTGTCTCACCATTTAACAATGTTGAGAAAACCTGGATTTGACCAGATTGGATCATGGACTGGACCTCAAACTGGACCACAGACTGAATCATGGATCAGATCTCATTAATTGAAATTAGAAATTTTGCATGACAAGCCAAAATAAAGTCTGTGTGACATAATGGAGTGCAGGCCCCACTGAGGTTTTTTTTTTGCCCAAAAACCCCTTGTTGTCATATTTCACCAACAAGAAATTATTTCAGTGACATTTGGTTTGTCATGCAGTTCTTTCGATAACATTAGTGTTTCGCCACTGTTTGAGATCAGTGGAGGTGCTTAATTGCTGTTCAGATCACAAAAAATTCCAAAAACCATTTGCATTTTAGACAAAAACCGAAAATCAAATGCTAAACCGCATAAAATCTGCAAACCAAAATGGAGAAAATTGAAAAACCAAAGTTTTTTGACACAAAAACTAAAAGACCAATCTAAAATTAGCCAAAACTGCAAAACCAAAAACCCCAATGCCCTCCTCCTAATTGAAGAATGATACATACCTCTTGCTAGCTTTTGTCCATGGAAGCATGACACAATACTCCTCAACACAGCTGTGAAAGTGACCACATGGAGTTTGGGGAAAAAACTCTCAAATGGACCTGCACTCTATTGAGTCACCCAGAGTCTATTTTGGCATATTATGCAACATCTCAAATTTTCATTAAAAATATTTTAACTTTTTCATATCCTCTTTTTTAAAACTATTTATTATTTTGTAAATGATTTGATTGTTTTATTTTTCAAACTTTTTTCTTTTTTGAAATGTGATCCAATCTGTGAGGTTTTTAGGCAAAAAACTTTCGGGGGGGGGCTGCACTCAACTATGTCATGCAGACTTAATTTTGGCTTGCCACGCAAAATTTCTTCTTTTATTTAACATGATCCGATCCATGATCCATGATTCGGTCCGTGATCCAATCCGTGATCCAGTCCGGTCCGATCCCGATTTTGTCGACGCCGCAAATTTAAACGACATCGACTCAAACCGTCCCTTGAGTCGTTCCTTTCAAAGTCATAATTTGCATCCTCGAGTAACGGGCTTCGTGTACGCTTTTAGGTTTACCTTTTTTCCCTTTCGTATATCTCTTTTTAATTTTTCCAATTTAAAGGACACAATCTGTTCACCAAAATTATGCAATAAAAAGTATAGGTCGCCTTGTTTGTTTACGGGGGATAGACCATTGTACCACTTTACCTGGTCCATGGATTGAAAATCAATACCATATTCTCGGAATGCGCGCGCTCATTCCCTGAATCATGTGATTTTTAAGCGTAAGATAGGATGCGTGGTGCAAAACTGAGGAATCACCTTAACGGTTGCTAACGCGCTCGACGGGATCCTACTATGAGCCTTTACATTAATTTTGTACGAGTGGTTTCTGCTAGTCGTGAAGATAAAAATGAAAACTTAACAGCGTGAGGGAAAAATAAAGAGAGGTCAACCGGCTGGCATGCAAGCTTAGCATTTAATTACAAGGTCACGCTCAAAAGATCAGATAGATTAAAGTTACTTACCGACGCCCTCAAAAAAAAATTGCATCAACAAATTATCAACCTGTCAAAACTTTCAGGCATACCTTTAGCTTCGAGAACTACAAGCTTTATTTGTGGGCGTTTCTTCAGCAATTCGTAGGCTGCAGAAAGGCCTGACATTCCTCCTCCAATGATGACAACGTCGACAATTTCTGGTGAAGCAGCCATGTTCCTAGGCTAAATTACTAGCCGCTGTTCGAGAATATGAGCCCGCGCTCATCCCCGTAACCCACTCCTCTCGGGGAGGAGTGAAGACCGGACACGAGAGAGCGGAGGAAATCGAGCCAACTATGTTCCAGAAAACTTAACTTTTGGCTTTCGCGAAAAAAAATTGATTAAGCAATTGTCAGGATGCAAAAGCTGGGCTTAAAAAAAAATAATAGCTTTTACGTCATAAATATCAGAGGAAACACGATAAAAGCAGGTGATAAATGTTTTATAGACACTTGGTAAACTCTAAATGCCCGTGAAAAATCTGGAACCAATAAAAGTTTCTAACCAGGAGAGAGGGGTCGTAGCTCTTATTTAAGGGCTGGGGGAGGGGTGTAAGAGAGAGTGTAAGGGGGGGTTGTAACAAGGCTGGGCTGACCCCCTTCTGGACTGGAAAGTAATTATTTATTGCAATGCTTTAAACATCTTTATCATGCCCATAAGTTTGCGCATAAAATCTTGTTAAAAATTCCTTCTTAAGTCTTTGAACGAAGGCACACCACCACATCAGTGCACCCATGTAGGAAGTCTAAAGACTTTTTTTATATAAAATATATAATTTACATAAAATTTCTAAAATAGTTTCAGGTAGTTTAGTCTAATCTCTAAGGATCTCTTCGGTCAAAGGGGGTCTGTTTTCGAGCAAGAAGGACAAATGTCTCGATAACATGAGTGAAGGTCGGCATATGAATCGTAAAAATAGCTTCAGCTTTTCATCTTTAGTTTTCAATCAAACCTTGGTTTTCACCAGCGACCTAAGCACGTGGGCAAACCGAAGAGCATGCGCAATCATTGTTTTGACCCTTCAATTCCCCATGAGTGACCAAGACATAATTTCTCCTTACGACATCAATACCATATCAAGCAGACAAGTGATAGGAATGAAGAAAAAAACAATTAGGGGATTACTAATTGATCCAATAGCAAATTCTCCGATCTAACACTATAAAAGTAGAGATTTGCAGGTATACAGTAAGGAGAGTCACTGGTTTGATCTTGGGAGTGAGAGGATTGACGTGGAAACAGCCTCGATGCGAATTACAGCGATCAAATGTATTCATTTGTAGTGCTTCTGTTTTTAAGTTAAGCACCAGTAAAATGTCTAGTAAGTACAAGAAGAGATAATCATGCCTAAGACTTGGAAGAAGGAACTCGGGAGGTTTATCAAAAAGATGCCTTTATTCATACGATGGGTATATTTGAGACTGAAACAGCAACCTTATGACACGTGCATAACATTTCAAAAACTTCCCCTCAACCAGGATAATTTTTGAGCGACTGCTAAAAGTATGTCGATAGTTTGTTAGACTCCTGTAATTGGCTCACCCAAAGTGGTCTTACTGCCAATGGGAGCCAAGTTAACTTTCTTGTGCAGTCAGAAATGAGACAAGAACTACAAAGCTTTAATAGATATTCCATAACTTCTCCCGCACTTTATTGTCGATGGCTTTGCATCTTGTGATTGAATAGATGAGACAGAAGATTCGAAAAAGGGGCGGATACAGATATTTTTGATAGGGGACGTCGAATTCATTATTTAGAAAACAAATTACCTTCTTTCACACTATTGCCCGGTGAAGTAACATGTGATTCCATCGTTGTAACAATTTTTGAGGCAGAAAAATACTAAAAAACACCAAAAGCCTGATGGAAGATGAGGAGCGGGGGAGGGGGGGTGATCCAAAGTTTCCTTCGCTTTATACGGATGTCAGGATTTGAAAAGGAAAAAAGTGCTGGTATATTCTTGACCTCTAATAGTCGTTCAAAAATCCCATTCGGTCAGCTCGAACGCATCTCTGGTTTAGATCAGTTGGGAACACGTTTCTCTCTCCCTTCTTTAGCAGCATGGACACAGTTTCTTCTTGATCATCTTCAGTCCAACCTTAATCAATTCAAATTGAACCAGGAAAATACGGCGTTAGCAACCTTTATGCATAAAACGATACATAAAAAATAAGCCAGAAAAGAGTATACTCATTGTTGTCTTTCTTTTTCAGTTGCTGTTGTTTAGCTTCATGTTTGTAAGAACAGCAGGTGCTTGAATTGCGCGAGAGCTAGCTTGGGAGCAGGCTCTCATTATTAGCGCTGTAAGATGGGCGTTTTTCCGCCCGAGGGAGGATTGAAACGAGTCGGGGAGAGGTTTGCCGGGGGTCTGGTATTCATTATAGGTGGATTATTAATGATTGTCACGCGAGAACTGGACAAGGGGTTGGGGATAGGGTGCCAAGGAAACCAAGGAAACAGTCGTAACTACACCCTTTTCCCCTTGATACCAAGAACTTCTTGTTTTACTCTCCAAGGACTGCACTGGGCGTTCGGTTATCAAAAATAATCGCCATAATACACAACGCTATAGTAACAGAGGAGTAAAGAAACGAGAGAGGCGTGGGTCAGGGCGCGTAATGAACCGAACCCGTCCCAGACCTCCTTCGCTTTTTCACTCTTCCGCTGCTATAGCGCCGTTTACTACTTCACTCCGTTTTACCAATTGAACGCGTGCAACAGGCAGTACTCTTTATTTATATTCAACCCTTCCTCAGCCCTTGCTTCGCTGATAAGGTGAAAAAAGCCTCTTGAATAATCTGAAATAATTTCACTGTAATCCACCTACCTTCACCGTAGTACAGACAGATGGCTTGGGAATACCAGAGGGAAGCTTGCGGCGCAGGCAGCAAATAAAAATTGCAAAAAGCAAAATGATTAGGAAGATGACACCTGCAATTCTGTAAGAGAAAATGAAAAAGTGAAAATTCAGCTAATGCACATGTGAGCGGCTTCATTTGGATCGCACAATTTAAACCTAAGATGCTCTTGTAAATCTTAATTAAAAAACTAATGAAAGGATGATTTGTCGACGTAGAAAGACTGAGATAATTTCCTCATCAAACCGAACCGATCCGTAAAACAATGAGGACCTGGACACTAAGTTAATTGTCGGAGTGAATTAATCTAGTGTCCAGGTCATTGTTTGGTGGTCACCGTCCAATCATTAGAAAACTAAATTTATTCACTCACGCTATTCCTACGATAGCACCAACACTCAATCCACTCCCGCCTACATTTGACGAATCAAACCGAATCCCGGCATCCTCTTTGGCATCAAGCAGACATCTTCCTGGACATGCGCATATGCTGTGCAGGGAGGTGTGCTGTAAAGGATGAAAAAACATTGAAACACTGGAAAGGTTTGGATCGTCTAATAAGCGTCCAAAAGGAAAGATTACATGAAGAGGCAAAGGAACGCAGAACGATAACGAGGACCGCTTTAAACTTACATAGGACGAGCCATTGACGCTCATGGGGTCGACTTTTCCAACTTCTGTTTCACTACACACCAGGGAAATCGATGTTTTCCTTTAAAGTGATAATTTAACAACCCAATAAGGTTAGCTTTCCACACCATAAAATGACGTGTTATAAGAAACTTCGCACCTCCCCCTCCCCTAACCCAACATCAAGCAAGGGTCATAGTTAGGGTAGGGGAGGAGTAGGTGTGTAGTTCCTCAACTACTGACATAGATCCAAAAAATTAAGGGTTTTAACTCCGGTGTAAATTTGCCATTAGGAATCCACAGACTTCCCGTAGGTTTACTCAATGTGAAAGGGAAACTTCAGTCAACTTGCGAAAAATTCAGAGGAGAGCAGCAAAACAAGTAATACTTACATTCGGTCGTTCCCCGTGATTCCATAAGTCAACATACATTGTCCACTGTTCTCGTCAAGGACGCAGTCCGAGAGATCGCGTTCTCCAATGTTCTTGCGTGACACGTCAGAAAGTGTTATCTGGCTAACTTGACAAACCTGCAGAATTAGGTGAGGTTAGCATTACCGTCACGGATGACTCTAGAAATATTTTGATGATGGCATATCATTATTTAGGCTGCAAGCATGACATCGTTATTGGCACTTGTTGGTGATATGCATCATTGGCGCTTCAGCACGTTTATTTGCCCGCGGGAAATTATGAGGCCTTCAGGTACGCGAACCGACAAGAGGTCCATAAGGGAAGTAACACTGAAAATTATTCTTGCAAACTCTCCCCGACTTGTCTCGCATCTTTCGACGGGCGGAAAAATCGCGCGTCCTGTAAAACTATCAATAACGGCCTGCTCACAGGCTCATTATTATAATATTAATGATAAAATACAATTATGTTCTTTACAATTATCATTATTTATTGATGTTTGTTTTTCGCCATGACCATTTATGATTAGAATTTATGTTGTCAGCAACGCAACAGTGTCGGCTATCCGGAAGCATAATGTCACTGTCATTTTACACGTAACTATTGATAAGTCATTTATTCCTTTTGTGTTGCCATCGGCGTCGTCGTCGTCAACGACGATAATCATATCTATCATTAATTTCGTCGTCGAAGCAATCGTTAGCATTATTATCACATCATCATCATACTTTTCATAATCACCACTGACTTAGCTTTGCCTCACAGCTCTTACTAAGAATGTCACGCCACGGTAGTGAGCATTGCGTGACATAACGCCTGAGTACCCTGAAAAGATTCAGTTCCGCCACGCCAACTGACATCCTTCGTTTTTATTTTATTTTTTTTATTTTTTTCAATTTGCTCTATGTGCAAGTGTACACTGTGCGGTAAGAGAGGGGGTGTAAGAATAATTAAGCTCTGAAAAAAATTTTGGAGGAGCTCAACTTGCTCAACACGCGTAACTTATTTTATATACTTCTTTTGCATTGTTGTGTCGACGTGAGGTGCGCATCTCGCCCTTCGCGTCCTCTTTGTTCTCGCTCCACGTCTGCGGCGTTTGCTTGCATGAAATAGCTACTAAGCGACATCGGCCACAACGTGGTAATTGCACACTGAAATCTCTTAGAGCACGAATTGTACGAACTTACTGATGAATCCTGGCAGGGGTGGCCCTGCTCGGTCCTCGGGCTACAGGGGTTCCACAGATAGAAGGTCGACTTTTGAGCGGGACCGGATGCTGAGATGTTGAATCTGTTCGATTATTAGAAAGGAAGTTAGTATTTATATTCTATAGTCTCCCCATTCCTCCCTCATCTAACACCTTATGTCACGCAGACTTTGTCTGAATCACGCAACTAGAGTACATTGTCATGGTAATTTATTTCCGAAGACGTGACAGAACCATTAACACTGGTAATCACTGGGGTAACAAAAGACACCCTGAAAACTGACCGCGTGGTATGTTTTGACTTCGCAGGCAAAAAAAACATAGGCAAACTTAGACTGCTTACTTTCTCGTCAAAAGGCGTGTTAGAAAAAAACAAATTAAACCAAAAACACAATCTAGATGGACAAAAATTTAAGAAAGAACGGCTAGTTCTCTTTTTGTTTTTGTTGCTAATTTTTCGTTAACGCGAAATTCATGCAAAAATTTATTCATCTCGCGGCAGAATATTTTCAACCAATATTACCAGCGGGAATAATTTACTCCGCTATCTGTATGCAATCGACTTGAAGATAATTTAGCCCGTGAGCAAGCTCTCGCAGCAGGGGGGGGGATGGTCGGCAGAAGGAGGAAAATTCAGAGCCACATGACAAATTAGCGGCATGCTTCAGTGTTTAAACGAGATGCTTCGGCCTAGAAAGAAAAAATTACACACGTCTGTAGCAGCGCTCTGCAGCGCTCGGAGAAAAGGAGATGAAATCTCACCCGGTCGAGAACATTTACACGACTTCATGCTGAGCCAAGGCCGGAGTCAAAGTTCAAGTTAAACATTGGTCTATGGTTTAGCTCTGCTTACAGTGTCGCTTTTTTAAAGAAGGATGTAAATAAATATATGCACATTTATCATCGCAGCTTCTCTCCCAAGTTGAACACTAGACGCAATGCGATCAAGCTGAAGAATAATTTATTTTTCAGTTACGTCTTCTGGCCGTTTTGATGAGGTTATTTCCATACCGAAGCCATTTTGACGCCATAACAATTAATTTCTTCTAATCTTCAGACAAATACACGTGTTCTTTATGCTTATTCAAACTAAAAGTTTCACTTCAGTCGATCTTTTCTAAAACATTTAAAAAGCTAACGCTTACCTCGCTCCGTTTGTTTTCTGTCCTGCAACGCTCCAAATATTTAGTTCTCCTTCATCCGTGGAACATCTGCAAGCATCTATCTTTTCGCATTTCTTTACTGCGTGCACTAGAGACGAAGCAGATAAAACCAAAGCGAAAGGGAAGATAAACATTTTCATTCTGAGGAATACCGGTATTTTGATGGTTACGAGAGAGCAATTGGATGAATTATAATCTCCTCGTAAAATCTGGTAACACTATACCATGCAGACAACACCCACGTGAACGATGGTCTCACGTACAAAGCGGTATGCAGATTACAGGATCAAAAGCGGCTGGTGTAAAAATTGCGCAGCGGATATCCTGCGTTTTGTTTACAACCAAAGGATTACATACAATCTTAGGATAGTTGCTGATAAAACATTCAGGATGGAGTGAAACGCTTTAAAATAATAGACAAATTGTACACCGATGTCTTGGAATCACAGATCAGATATGTGAGGAAAATCAGTGATATATATAAATGACACGTGTCACACTCGTAAAACACGATTTGAAACTGGGAAGAGCAACTGTGGTGCATAAATTATCAACTCTTGTTTTCTTTGTCTAACACTCGTGACAAAACGAGTAAAACCTCTCTTTATTTCCTGATCTGTCACGCAATACAGTACGTGACTTGCTGATGCACTGATGTGACGCAAATACTTTTCTCATGTTTCTATACTTACCAGGTTACCTTTGTAGCAAAAAAAAATAAATTGAGCATTTTTTTCCTCTCTTCTCGAACAATATTGCGTTATCTAGCGGCAATGGGCAGCTAAACTAATACTGTAAAAAATTATATGCCCTCGGCTAGGGCTGATATACAGTAGTCAGATGACTCGAGCAGAAAACCGTGAACACCTAAAAACATGTCTGGAATGCTACAAAGAGCTCGTGAGACTATAAACGGAAAAACCACAGAAATAACTGGTTTGGTCATTACTCACATAACGTTCAAATTCGTCTTCTGTTCCACCTACAATAGATGATTACCATCATCCGTTCCTTTGGATGGCTTAACAATTTTTCTAGTGCTGTTATTTGCTATTTTGTTTTTAGAATGTACCGTATTTATTCGGTCAAACAACGCCCTCGAATAAACGCCGCATTTTATAGCAGAAATATTAATAAACGCCGCCCTCGAATAAACGCCCGTCAAGATGCGGCGTTTATTCGAATGATAGACTCAAAAGGCACACCACAATCATTGCTTCCATCGCAGTTGGCAATTTTGAGTGAACCAGACACAAAACCTTTTTGCATGTACCATATTGGATTTTATTCACTTTATGTATTGCAGTAGTATTAACATGCAAATTGTGAAATTGAGAACAATATATGAAAATGACTTTTCAGTCAAGCACTAAAACGTGTTTATGTTTTTTTTTTTTAATCAAAATGGTTTTTTTTAAAAATTAAAATGTTCAGTTACCATACTATCGTTTGTAAATAATAAATTTCCTTTAATAAACGCCACCCTCGTATAAACGCCGCCATCGAATAAACGCCGCGCTCAAATCAGGAAACATTTAATAAACGCCGCGACGTTCAGTCGAATAAATACGGTATGTCATATTTATTTTACATCATTTTATTTTAGGGAGTTTTTACAAAGGATTAACCTCTCAACATCCTTCTCTTGTGCATTTTTAGCTAGCTGCATCTTAAATACAGTTTGTAGGTTGTGTTACGGCTGTTTCACTTGAAAACGGTAACATAATCCGTGATTGATTCATGCTTAACGTACGTCTATCGAGTTATGAATGCACGCGCGAGAAGTTTGGAAAGCACGAAATAAGCGTAAGAGTTGCTTTCGGCTACGCCTCGGGTAACTCTAACTTGGAGAGCACGAGAGAAGCATAAAGCTGAAAGCAACTCTTACGCTTCTGCGTTTATAACTCGATATACACACGCTAAGCATGAACCAATTCTTAATTCACGAGTTTTGTTATCGTTTTAAGTGAAATAGCCATCCAAAGGAATAGAAGATGGTTGTTATTTATTATAGTAGAGACAAGACACGTTTTAGCACCACGTGGGTAATGACCAAACCGTTCATTTCTGTGGTTTCTCCGTTTAGAGCCGCCTGATATTTATTGGTCAGTACACAAAATTCCAGACATATTAGGTGTTCACGGTTTTCTGAGTCGCACAGTAGAAAAAAACACTGAGAAAGATCTAGATCGATTAAAGTTATCTAAACAATTCCATTTCTCCGATCACCTTCATCGTCACAGTGGGAATTGCTGTATTTATTATTGTTTACCAGTTAATTCATGTCTGTCTATAAAACAGTGTTATTTAGCCACACTCATCATCTTATTTACCAAACTGAGAAAAATAATTATCATAGTGTAAAGAAACAGAAGAACAGAAGAAGGGAGAGTCGATTCCCAGTCCATTTTTACACATTTTGCTCTTCAGAGCCTGTCACGCAACTGAATTAAAAACGCCTGATCAGATCTTTGAGATGCGCAGTTTTTTTACCGTGGAGATTGAAATGGGTCTTTTGTTAAAAACATCGCGAGAGTTGTGTTGGTAAACCTTGTTTTACCTCAGATTGAAGAGCTCCAGTTTACCCGAAAGAGTATAAAACAACAAGAAGTAATAATACTCGGATGGGTACAAGATATTTACCGAATAATACAATAATAATGATGGTAGTAATAATAATAGTACCGATAATAATATTAATAGCCATAGTTATAGTAACCTTAATAACCATAGAATACGAATCATCTGATTGAAAAAGTCTAGACAACTTTTTACATCAATATTTTAAACCCTTTGACTCCTAAAAGTGACCAGCATGTAATTTCTCCTCACAATGTCAGTCGTGAATCACACAATAAGGTCACGAGATGAAGGAAACGATCATCAATTTAAGAAGCTTTTGATTGTTAAACAAATTCTCCTTGTCAGCTCCTTAAGAAATGTAAAGAGGACAGTATGGAGAATATGCATGCTGATCTTAGGGTGTAAATGGTAAAAGTAAGTCATGCATCTGGCATTTCTGATATCATCATCAAACGTATTTCATAACCAAGGGGCAAGTAAATTGAAGGAGTGTTTAACATAAGCAGAACATGGCTTTAGGTGTAACTTATCCTGATATTTGATATATGATAGATAAAAAACTTTATAAAATGTGACGTGATTGATGTCGCGTGTCTATGAACTAGCGGGAAAGGCACATGATTCCCGTGAAACTGTCCGTTTGAGTTCAGCTACCTGAGAGAACTTGAATACTTGATTTTCACATATTAATAAATCCTTTATATCGCAGTTTAATGTGGCCTAGACTATCCAAAGCATCTCATATGTTCCTTATTTACAAGAAATTGTTCTAAGTTTCTTGCGTCTCAGTGACCCCATCACGAGATGAATTTACAAACAGGTCGTTTGTCTGTTGGAAAAAGAATTCTATTTTGGCGGTCTAAGTAATTCCTAAGAAATTCCCCAAAGATAGGAAAGGGAACTTCATAAGTGTGCGGTAAACCACTTTTAGAACCAAATCTTAACTCAGCGCAATTCAAATCAAGCGCGAGAAAATCATTATGGTGTTCCATCAACAAGTCACGTCATAAATATGATGATACAGTGGATATTTAGCCATCACACCTATTTCTATTTTAACCCGTTGACTCCTGGGAATAATCAGAATGTAAATACTCCTTCTAACTTTTATCAAAGCTTCGAGTAGACAGGTAATGAGAAAGTAAACATGATTACCAACAACGTGATGTCTTCTGATTTAACACCAAATTCTCATGAACAACGACCAAAGAAATGTATAGTTTTGATTAGAAGATTTAATTCCAGGTCTTTGGATTTACGAAGTTTAGAGTGCACAGGCCGGTCATCGGACAACAGTCACGCGCTTTTAGCATGGTTGAACCGTCACAGATAAGAATAGAAGATTTTGAGAATGGATAACTCAACACATTCTTTACGATTCAATTGAGTCAGTAAATGGCAATTAGGTTCAATCTTCTCCATCTTTACTCAGAGATTCTCGTAAAAGCCATGGCCAAATACGGGCGGTCCATCGCCGCCTTTAAGACCGTTAACCACCGTCTATTAAGCCTGCTCGCAGGCTCTCGTGTTTCGATTTCGTCGCAAAGCTAGTTCTGTGACGCCCCTATGACACTATCAGAGGCCGCTTATGGAAAAATTAATTCCAACCCCTTGGCTTTCTTTTTCCTTCCTCGGGTTGTTTTTTGACCTTTCCATCTTTTATTAAACTGGTACAATGTTATTTTCTTCAACTTGAAATGAATTTGCATGTCGCACAAATGACCAAAATTTGTGACCTCGGTCGCGTGACCATGACCATGAACTAACGAAGAGAACATGAGCACTTATCGCATGATTCACACAACGCGGGCTGTTTGATTTCAGAACGCAGTACAAGTAAATTTTCGTGAAAGTCTCGTGTCGGCGTAAATGCCCTTGGAAGGTGTTAAATTTGTAGAGCGATTATGGAAACAGAGTGGCTAATTTTCGATATCCCGTGACAGGTTCATGACAAAAATTATCTTCTCTTGAGATGAGCTGTGCGCGTTCTCCTTCAGTCTTCACGCTTCGTGCATAATTGAAAGTCGGCTGCAATGGCTTTTGAGCGGATTCATTTGGTCTTCCTTGGTCTGGCGATTTGTTTTCTGTCAGGCTCTGTTTCTGGCCATGAAAAGAAACTCAAGAAAATAACCTCTTGTCGCTGCTCAATGGATGAGGGAGAAATTGATCTTAGAAAACTAGCAGGGAAAGAAGGCAAGCCAAGGTATAGACATATTATACTACAGTATGTAGGTGCGCATTGACACGAGTATGCTCGCGTACAAAGGCCGCTCGATAAATCGTTGACATGCACCTACTAAAAACAAGTATTTTTTGAACCGAAAAAGAAAATTTGGAAATTATTGGCTAAAAGTTAGACGGTGTCCACCGATCTCTTCTATTTCCAGATTTAAAAGTACTTCTTGCCATGGACCTCGTGGGGATGAATCGCTCGAGAGTATTCTTAGCCCTTTTGGGCTTTTTTTGGACTTAGATAAAGAGAAAAAAGTAACAAGGACCACCCAATTGTTTGACTAGGTCGAAAGGCTTATTAATTCAATAGCATAATACAAGGTGATGAACGGAGGTTTGCATGTGTGATCTATGTCAAAATATGACGGTTTGCAAGAAGAGACAAACACTAGCAGGTAGGTATTGCAGTATTGCCCCTGCAGGGTTCTGGTTGAGTGGCCCCAATTCCATTATGCTAGAAAAAGTTTTGGCATTATATGGAAAAACGAGTGCAATTTCTGCAAATTTGTTTTTTGAACGTCGCACTGCTCGCCTAATCAGCATATTTTCAGTTTTTTCAGAGTCATGACTTGTTTGTTCTCGTAGATTCATCATTTTTAAGTTCCGTCCATGATTCAGTCTATTTTCAATTTTGCAATGTCTTGGAAAAGAGAGGGTTACCGTACTACCGCGTCGTTCGTCATCCAGAGGACTGGGCACGCCGAAAGTAAAATATTGCGTCGGCCCCAGTTCCCGCTTTGATAAGCAACAAAATATCAAGATCAATAGCAGAAAAAGAGTTTATAATCTCTTGGTCAGAACATATTTAAATTTGTGGTCGTGTTTCATCACGCATCAGAGCAAGTGCGTAACTCAAAATAAAATCGAAGTCATGCGTGATTAACAGTACACATGTAATTATGGATTGTTTTAAGTTTCTTATTGAGAAGGATACCCTCCAAAAAAAAAGCATAATTTTCAGAAACGAGCATAATTTGGAAATAAATTGGGCAATGCTATACTTTTTTTTACTAGAACAATCTATAAGGGCCTAGCTACTTATCTTCTTTTAGATCTTAATGTCATTTTTTTCCCAGATTTTTCAATATTCCTTCAAATTACACAAACTCAAGCTTTAGTTGGAACCCATGCAACTCATATTCACTGAATGGATCTGCTTGTAAAGGTGTTGCTGTGAGTATAATGTTCAGTATTAATCCCGTACCCAGATCCTACCGTTTAACCGTAACCGCTTGACCATGGAAAGTATGGGTACGAGACTAGGTTAAGTCTGGCTCAGCTGTTTTGCCCAATTTCCGTCACTGAACACTTCGTCCAGCTACGGCTTAGGGCGACATGTCACGCATATAGTAATCATTGATCATACCTGAACTGATGTTAGTACCGAAAAATGAAGAAAAAAACATCTCATGTCGTAATTACAGTCAATAGCACTGAAACTGAAACGCAAACTCCCCTAAGATCCTATTAATTTAGGTTCAAATCCGTTGTGAGGTGAAACACTTCCATATCATTTTGTCCTTCCATTCACTTTAAGTAAGACGAGAGAATTCAAACACCAATCACAAACTAGCAACCGAGAAATGACGTGACCTTAATTGTCTTGAAATGACCCAAAACAATCCCAGGACCTCTTTGGAGCCTAGAAATTTGTTTCTGACTAAGTGTAATTGTGTAATACAATGTAAACAAGTTGATCTCTTGTAACTGTTTCAGCCCTACACGCTTAAAGTAATTCTTTTAGATGCGTTGCGCACACCAGAGTAACTGTTGCCTTCATTTTTACCTTCCAATAGGCTTGTATGGAACAAAAAGGAGTAAATACTTCAGAGTTTTACAGCGTTGCAAAACAAGACACAGCTGAATTTTTCCACAGAGAAGACGGGGAAAATTTTTTGACATACAAAGGGACAGCTTTTAATAAGTATGTATAAGATTTCCTACGACGGATCTATGGTAAATGAAGCAACCTTGAATGAAAGTATCTTGTCAATGCATGTGACTACAGTCAATCTGCAGCTCTCGTAGTCAAAAAGATCTTCATATATATAGATAGGGGAAATCAAGAAACAGAGAGTCGGAAAAGACGGTGAAAACCAAAACTGTGACCTTTGACCTCAATTAATTGGTTGGAAAGCCCACATTTTTTTAACTTCATGAGAGAATTAAGTATTTTATCATTTCCATGAGTAGTCAGGGGTAACGAATGCGTTTTCTATTTCCCGAGGGCACCCCGAACGCGCTCCGAGGGTGTCCCGAAGGTGCCCGCATGTTGACAGGGCAGCTTCAACTGAACTATCAAGACATTTTATCAGTGAGGGTGTGTAGGGGAATTCTGCTTTATGGCAACTAAAAAACCCTGACGCAGTCTCTCTCCCCTCACTCTTTCGTTCGAAAAGGTCAAAGTTATTGCTCCAAAAAAAATTCTTGGAAATTTCATTTGCATGTGTGGGCCTAAGCACCAACTCGGAATTAATGAATGAAAATATTTTCAGCCATTTTCGGTGGTCGTCGAAACTTTTAAAAATCCTTAATAAAATAGCGATGTTAATTTACACTTGAGGTAAAACTGGCTTTTAAGTGATTACATCATTGATGAGAGCAAATTTATCGTAATTAGAATTCAGGAACAAGCAGTAAATAACAACTAATTGATAAAGTATTGTCTAATCGTCGACCAGAACTTTTTTTGTTTTGTTTTGTTTTTTTTTTCAGGACCTCAGTGTTTTCTGTGGTTCTTAAATGCGATCCAAAAGAGGAAGGCAAAGTCGACCCAGTGATTGCTGATACCACAAAAAATACTTACGTAAGCTCCTAGAACTCAGTGATTTTAAGCAACTAATTGCATTTACATTAAGTGTCATAACACTAGAGCCAAAGTAATACAGGAGCCAATCAGAAAAAAGGGAAATATCACCAGGAGCCAGTGAGAGCTCATAGAAAACAGAAAAATCACGCGTGACCAAGTCGTGACTGGTGTTAGTTTTGAATCTGATTGGTCGAGAAAGTGGTGCTCGATTTTTGGAAAATCACAGCGAAGAAAAGCAAAACCAAAGGAATTACGGATTACTTTCGACACTCAATTGAAGATTGCACTGACTATTACAGTTTGTTTGTTTGTTTTATGTGATTTAAATTATACTACCTTATGCTCGTTCCTCTCCTCTTATCGTTCCAGGCTCCACTCTTTCATTCTTTGCCTTGCTCTACTTAGTGTTCGACTGATAAATTGTCTTTTTCAGGAGACTGTTTTGTATTCAAAATACGCCTGCCCTTCTAGCTCAAGCTCTACTGGCTTGGGCTTGGGTGCAATCGCTACCATGAGGTAAACAAAATTGAGGACATAGTTGAAGGTTCTTGTACAGGTACCTATATACGAGTTATACGGGTGTTCTGAATATTAATTACTCGAAAAAGGATTTTGAACTCGCAAGCGAGGAATCGTTGGAGTCAAACTTGACTGTCTTTCAATCGAATAGCCGCGCAAATGCAGCGTGACTCGATCTTGTTGATTGACTATTGATGCATACGATCGCATGTGTCATCCTATCCGGGACAATAATCTACAAGCGATCTTTTCCGAAGAGAGCACGATGGGATAGCGAAGCTTTTCGTGCGAGGCTGGAATTGTTGAGTAAACAAAGGAAATAACTGCGCTCAAGGTCCTCTCATGGTACGCTAAGAAGTTTTTATTTTGCGGCATGATCGCGATCGCAAATATCAACGGTTTCAACGGTTAATTATATTAGAAATATAGAGTAGAGCTACAATTGTACGGTTTACCCAGCGGAAAATGGAGTTTTTTGCTCCTTGCGGAGTGTGTGTATGTGTGTGTATGGGGGGGCTGCTTTTGGAAGCTTCGAGTAGGGGTGTATAAGAAACGTGTTGAATAACGTTTACCAATATCTGACGTTTTCTCGAACGTAAAGGCTGCTATTCTAGTTGCCTCAAATCTGTATGCCAAATTATTCAGTTTGACGTATCAAACTTCACTGCCCCAAAAGAGAAGTTGAAGAGAGATTGATCATCAGTATGGTATCTCTTTGTTAATCTGAGTTTTTTTCTTTTTTTTTTAGTGTCATTACTATTCTGGGTGTTGTGATCATTGCCTTCCTTATTTTTGTTGTCCATTTACGTAACAAACTTCCCGATGGAGTTCCAAAGCCGTCTATGTGTACCTCGATGAAGGTGAGGCGAATAGCAGCTTTACCCTGAGTGACTGGCTCTTTCTTTCGTGAGGGTTTTGAGAGAGAACTAGATTTCTAGTATTCGCGTCACCACCACACTCATCAAGGAAATTTATGCGCGAAGTGACGGCAATGAAGGAGGGGTGAAACATGGGATTTATTGCGTAGAACGTTGTTATTAGCCCTGCATGTGCATTTTGAAACTTTGCGCATTTTCTAGCCTTCCTTTACAAAACAACAGCAAAATTTTTGGTTCTCTGAAAACAGTAATACCGAAAGCAAATTACCCACGCTATTTACGTGTTAAGCTGAAGAGAGCTCTCGCGACGTTAAAGACGTTACACATATCGAGCCTTCAGCAAAATTCCTGAAAAAATGTTTTCATTTCAACTCGTGGATTTGCGAAGCGTAAAAACGAGTAATGAGGGGGCTCGAAATATCGAGGCGTAACCGTGGCCCTAGGAGTCTGGAGAGAGCATGCATCCTGTGAGGGTGGCTCCGTAAAACAGAATCTGTTTACTGCTATCCTCTCGTAGTTTAGTTTGAAGAGCGCTTTTCTTATTTTTCTCTTACAGGTTGCACTGGGAATGATATTCGCAAAGTTCTGTCCTTGTTGTAATGGATCAGGCTATGCCAAAGTTCCCTAGTCACAAATAACTTCTTCAATTCTGTTTAACTTTTTACAGCTCGTGGAGTATGATGGCAGGTGTCTCAGAAAGGATAAAATCTGAATGCAAGTGTAGGCTATTGGAATATAGATTTTTTTTTAGTAAACTGCTGAGAATGACACAAAAGATGAAACAACTGAGAGTAGACAAAAAGTTCTGCATAACATTAAATTTGATTTAAAAAAACTCGAACAATCATGAAGTTCTCTTTTTTTATATTGGAAGTTGTCTACTTCTGATTTGGAGCCCTCTTGACAGTGCTGGAAGTAAAACTAGTTCAAAGGGTCCTCTCTCTCCCTCTCTCAAGAAGGTACAGTACTTCCTCGAGGAGAGAAAGAGAGAGGACCCTGGGAACGAGTTTGGGGTGTGTTCTGGCAGGGGTTATTGTGTTGTATTCTTGGTACAAGGCCCTTCTCCCACGAGTACTTCTCTCCACCCAGTAGTGAAGATGGATACTGACAAACTGTAAGGAAAACTTGAGGGGGCGCTGGAGGTGTTCTCTAAGGGACCAGTATCCATCCGGGGCTGGGGGTCTCAGAGTCTCTCTTCTTCCCACAAGGAGCGAAGTCACTCGTCACTTCATGCCGAGGAGATGGGGTAACTTTGACGTAAATTACTTAGTTGTGCGTAGACTTACTGTAAAAGCTCTCACAACAAGCTCATACAGAAAGTAGATCTTCTTAAAAGCCTTCCCCCCCTCGACTGCGCGAAGTTTTAATCCAGTTTCGGCACGTTCGAGTCGCCGAATCTTCTAACTTTAACTGATTATTTGGGACCGTGTCTGTGCAGTACTTAGCTTTTTGTCGAGATCTGTTTAAATATTTTGAAAGAATGCAAAACAGCAGACTTCTGATGCTGCTTAACAGGTAAAGGAAATTGATCTCAGGAAAGGCGCAGGAACACACGGGAAGTCAAAGGCGTTGTAGGGCTTTGGATCACGTCCCTACCCACCCTGTGTAGGCATGTTAATTATACGCTTCATTTATTGTTCTATTCACACCTGAACAACCTAGCGCTTCTAGCATCATTGCTCAGTATTTCTCAGTGGGTATGTCACTCCTAAGCGTACATATATCCACAGTCCTCTGTGACATTTGATGTTTGTTTTCGCCTTGTGAGCACAGATCAGACTTTGCAATAACTGCCAGAAACAACAGTTCATCATTCTAATCATTTAATGGAAACCTATGTTTGGATACAGCACATAGCTTAGTAAAACTATAAACGAAAGGAACTTGCAGTGTCAAAACAAAAAACACGGAGGAACCATCCTACATCCAGAAAAAAAAATTATAGTTAAATAATAAATATTCTCAACTTTCCTTTGTAAACCATCTCTCTAAATGCGATCCAAGGCTGCCTTGCCAATCCTCACATTTCTATACTCTTTTGTGATGTTGCAATTAAGTCACTTCACAGTTCTCTCACAATTCTCTGATGCTTTCTCAACGTACAAGACACATTCGAGTTCACAACATGCATAAACTGCAAATAACAGGTCATTGAGCTTGTAAGCTCAAGGCAAGCTCCTTTTTTATTGTTCTGTTACTGTCTACCATTAAAACTAAACTAGTAGGAAATTCAGTCACATTTTGTCCTCCTGATGTCACAGTTTTTTTTCATTTCTAATCATTGACAACGCCGTAACTTAGTCCCATTCCAGACACTAAAGTTTTCATGAGCTCCACTCCACTCTACTCTGAACTGACCCATAGGAATGCCTGTTGATTCAGGCAATCATAGATTACCAACAGTTTCACCAAACATTTATCATAACTTATGCATTTAGTTTGGCATGTGGTGAGCTCAGTTCAGTATTTGAATCAAAGTCCTTCTAAAGTCAAAATCCCCTCCCAGCTAAAAAAGTGGCAGAGCCATTACATACTGAAATTGTTATTCTTAAACTGATTACATGTCTCACTTTTCATGTTCTGAATTGCCGACAAGAGCAGATGCAAGTCTGAACTAGATCTTACACAACCAAGCAACTACATTTGCAGTTTGGTTGCAAAACTATATGAATTATTGTTGAATCTAATTTGACTTGACAAACATTATGAGAGGTTATTCACACTAGAGACCAAACACTCAGTTCACAGAGCAATGCAGGGGTAACCAGCTGAGATTTGTGAGGAAGTACTGACAACAACAACACTCTCTGCACCCCCTCCTGCCACATGGACGTAGTTGATAGAACCATTCTCTCCAAATTTTGGCACAAGGTCAGCCAAAACCTTCCCAGGACTTCCCTTAACAAAGGACAAATTTCCAGAGAGTGGCACTGCACCAGAGAACACCAGGCTGTCAAACTTAACAAGCACTGGTACATCAAGACCCACCACTGTTCCAGTTAAAGTAGTATCTTTGCCGTCACAGTTGAATGTGATGGACACTGCAGCAGGATATGGGAGACCTACTGTATCCACATGGGTGGACGATACCTGAAATGAGGAACCACAACATCCTAAGAGAAGAATGCAATCAATTTTACCTGATTGCTAATAAAAAAAAAAAAAAAGGTGCAGCAAAATGACTCTTGAAGTTGCTCAAATATGGCATTGAAACATACTGTGAAAGATCAGTAAATATCCATCTCCCAAACCAAAAAAAAACCTTTGACATTTCAGTCTCCAATGACCATTCATTAATATATTCTGGAAACAGAAATTCAACTCGATGCAATAATATTAATACGAGAAAAGACCCAATTTATGGTTTCAGGATTATAAATAAATGACACACTGGTTGTTATCATATATAGTACAAGACATATGTCCCCCTTCCACTCAGATTTGTACCTGCTTGTTTTGGCAAAGAGAGGGCATAATGTAGGCATACTGTTGCCACTCGTTGATGCATGGCCGTCACATGGGTTACCATATGGGATATCTAAGTTTTTGAGCCAAAACTGTGCTGGCATTCTGGAATGGTGCAATGAGGCCCATGAGTTTTTACGTTGTTCAGTTTTTTTTCTTGATTTTGAACTTAATGTTGCCTTAAATACTGTAAGTATTCAGCCTAGGAGTTTGGATGAAAAGTTTTGTTTTTCCATGCCTGGTCACCATTGGCGGTAACACATGCTTTTTATCATGATTACTACTTTGTCCAATTCAAACAAGAGGGAGCCTTTATGTCCATGTTAACTGTTTGACTCTTTTGACTCCCATAAGAAACCAAGACAGAATTTCTCCTTACAATATCAATACAATATCAAGCAGACAAGGGACAAGAATAAAGAAAAATATCAATCAGGAGATTGTTAGTTGATCCAATACCAAATTCTCCAAAATCATTTATAAGAATTGTATGGCAGACAGTAAGGAGAATTACTATTGAGAGCTCAGGAGTGAAAGGTTTGAAGTTAACTTGACTCACCTGACATCCCTTCTCCTTGGCCATTACAGAAGAATTCACTAAATTAGCTTCACTTCCCATAATTCCTGATGACACAGCAGCTGTGATGTAGCGTCCAGCAGGTTTCATATCAGCACCATAAGTTGTTACTGTTGCCTTGGCAACTTTTCCCTGAGAGAGGCATGCCGCCACCTTACCCAGTTTTTCACCCAAGCTTAACCAAGGCTGGGCCTGAGGCTTGAGAGCATCTGCTAAGAATGTGGCATTGACCTGTGACAAAATAATACCCCTGGTTCTTTGAAGGCTTTTTTTATGTTCTAAAGAAAATTCTGCTCTCAGTCCATGAAAGTTTATCCATAGTTCACATTACGTGATTTCCATACATTCAAAGTCTTATTCATCACTTCACACATTTATTTGGAACCAACATAATGACCAGCTCCCAGTTGGCTTGTTAGCTCAGCTGGTGGAGCACTGCACTAGTATTGCAGAGGTCATGGGTTCAAATCCTGTACAGGCCTGAATTTTTTTCAGGCCTTAATTTCACTACAGTTTAAGTAGTATTCATTACTGCAAAGATCACTTTCATATTCAGAGTTTTCACAGTAAGTAACATTTAGCAATGTCATCCATCCCTCTTTCAATTATTCAATGTATTTTTCTCTTTACTTCTCAATGGCTGCATGAGAACCCACCACATGACATGGTGGGGCAGATCAAGGATTTTTTTTTTCAAGGATTAAGGGAGGGTGCACCATGATTTCTAAAACACCATGATTTCTAAAACATAGGTATAACTGTGAAGCATACTACACAGTGATAATGGATTGCTGTAAACATGTTGTTTTGATGAACATAAATCCTTCAACTTAGTCTCATATTTTACTTCAAAACACCTAAACCACAGTTCTTTTATGGTTTTATTTGGTAGGATACTGGCTATTTCAGAAAACTGTATGTGACATACAGTTTTCTAATTTCTCACCTCAGGGGGGAAGGGGGGTTTGCACTGCCCACACCCCTCCCCTAGATCTGCCCCTGACATGCAAAAACTGCCCACAAATAATGGTCAGTTCATGGATCAGAGGTTTTAATTAATTCATTATACAAATGGGTAGTGTAGAAGAGCAGGCAGGTTGTGTCCTGGAGGACCTTCCCTTTTCTAAGGATAACTGAACCCTTGTACTTCAAGGTAGATTAAAATTTATTTTTAATGTTCCACAAAGTCACCCAATTACAAGAGAATTATATGTCTGTAGAGTACAACGACATTTGTAGCCTGCAGGGTAGCCACCAGCACATTACAGGCTTTGATATCTACCTGCTAGCCATCTGCTACCCTATTATGACTAAATTAAATATTTTGCTACAATTTATCTCAAAAATGAAATATTAACTCACCACACCAAAGAGGGACTTCCCTTGTACAGCATCAACAAACTGCTCAGCTATCTCCTTGGCAACTCTAGTTTGTGCCTCCACTGTGCTGGCCCCAAGGTGAGGACAAGCTATGACTTTAGGATGTTGGGCCAGCTGGGCAGATACTCCTACAGAAAAAAGTTTAACACAAAACTTTTATTCTTTTAAACTAAAACATTCCCTAACCCTTTCCACCCTAACATCAGTATGCATATTCTCCATACTGTTCTCTATACATTTTCTAACATTTTGACAAGGAGAATTTGTTTAACCCTTTAGCTCCCTGAAGTGATTACCATGTATCTTCTCCCTATCGCATCCATACATTATACAGCAAACAGGTAATGAGAAGTTTCAAACTCATCAGGTACAATTTATTACCTTGATTGAACACCTAATTCTTGTAATCAGTTAACAAG